ACGAAACTCGAATCCTGTCCATGAATCCTAGAGGGGTTCGAAACAATATGAAGGAAGTATCAATGAACCATGTTTCGGGGTTCACTCACACGCTCCCCGAACCCTCCTCGCTCCGCCACCCCGCCAGTGTCACCCTCGGGAATTCCGGAATAGGAATGAGTCACCGGGAATGAGTCGTGATGGGTTTGGATAACTGAACCATGATGAGAATTTACAGAATTATGAATGATTATTGTGATGATTGATATTGGTGTTACTTTAAGATAAATAAATGATAATTAGAGTGAATGGGAATTAGTTGAATGATTGAAAGGAGAAAATAATGGAAATTTATTGGAATGAGAATTTAGTTTCAATGGGTTGGTTGGGTTAATGCTTTATATCTTGATCATAAGCGGAATTTTTGAGTACCTAGGAATTAATGAGAGAAAAAGATGCATTAGTTATCATAATAATTTTAATGATATTAATATTAGATTAACAGTGATGAAAACTATTAAATTAATATTGATATAAATTAAATATTAAACTACTAATATTATGTCCACAATAATAGTGTAATGGTATTATAATAATTATTATTATGAATGTTATCTTAACTATTACGGGAACTTTAGAAAAATACAATCGTGTTATTAATATAATTTTATTATATTTAATATCCTCAAAATTATTAATGTTTATGATTATTATGTATTATTACTATTATTATTATTATTAGTAGTAGTAGTAGTAGTATTATCATAATTATTATTATCATTATTACCATTATCATTATTATTATTATTAATATTATTATATTATTATATTATTATCATAATTATTAGTATCATTAAAATCATTATCATTATCATTATAAAAATTATTATCATTATTGTATATTATAATTATATTATTATTATATTATTATTATTATATTAATTATTATCATTATCATTATCTTTATAATGACTATTATCATTATTATATTATTATTATATTATTATTTTAATTTTTTGTTATTATTATTATCATATTATTATCATAATTATTATTATCATTATTATCATTATTATTATCGTCATTATTATTATTATTTTTATTATTATTATTATAATTATTATAATTATATTATAATTATAATTATCATTATTATTATTATTATTATTATTATTATTATTATTATTATTATTATTATTTGTCAATAAGGAATAACTTTACTGTCAGATGTTATTTTGAATTTTAGTATTTAAATCATATCAAGAGAAGCACCCTGAGAATTATAACAACGATCAGTCACAGAGATTATAATAATATCCAGGAGAGTTAATACATAATAATATTCACTTATATATACAGTTAAATGTAAACAAACAAACATAACTCAAAATCACTCTTGTTGAACTAAATTAATTGCAACACTCGAGCAACATTTTGTGCAACTCGGCTCAACCCCCGTGCAATATTGACGCGTTAAGTCTCTCTCTACACAACGTACGAACGAAATTATAAAACACAAATTAAATCCTTATAGACGCGTTTCATTTTTTTTCGAACAATTTTATTTTGTTTGTTGTTATTTTATTGTTTTGGATCACACTATTGGCAATGAATTAGTTTTTGTGTTAGGGTGAACAATATTAACGGTGTGTGTGTGTGGGTGTGTGTGTGTGGGTGTGTGTGTGTGTGTGTGTGTGTGTGTGTGTGTTCAATCATTGTTGTTAATATTTTTGTTTGTTTTTTAAAGCCCGTCTGTGGTGTGTTGAAGGGTGGTGCTGTTTGTGTGTTTGTTTTGTGCTTGTTGTTAATAGTATTCACACACACACACACACACAGCGCAAACACAAATACATACAGTATACACACACACACACACAAGCATACACAAACACTCACACATCTAATTCAAACATAATAACAAACAGTGTATATTTGGATCCGGCAACTCATCCTCCTAGTTGACTGCCGTCCTTACTCTGGCACCGTCTGTACCTGATGCCAAGATGTGTGACCTTATTTGGCACTATACTACTGTCAGTCTATACCCACACCCAACACCATCACTTTCACCATCACTATCACCATCACTATCCCCCTCCCACCAACAATAACCACTATCAATGCCACACTACAACCAATACGACTACTAACCACAACTCCATTTAACAACTACAACTATCCTACACCTGTCAAGCAACTACCACCACAACCACCACCACCACCACCAACCTACTCCCTTACTAACCAACAACAACCACTACCACCACCAACCTACTCCCTTACTAACCAACAACAACCACCACCACCACTACCAACCAACCACCAACCAATAACCAACCAACCAACACACTTACACAATATAGGCTTCTTGGCGGGCCCCGGGTGTAGCAATTTAGGTTTTTACACCCAGTAATGTATTCTTGAGGGCGTAAATAGGGAGGTCTGGTGTGAGTGTCTCTCTTTTGAATATGTTTACTGCGGCAACCACTCATTATAGTGCCCAGGTCCCTTGGCTCTTGTTACCTCCTAATGACCCAACTGCCGCCCCTGGTGATTCGACGGAGGGAGGGAAGGAGGGATGAAAGCTGGCTAGGAAGGAGGGAGAGGGGTGTCAGGGAGAAGGGAAGGAGTGAGGGAGAGTGGGAGGGAAATAGGAAGGAAAGGAGAGGGGAGGGAGAAAGGAAGGAATGAAGGAAGGTGGGGTAAGGGAAGGGAAAGAGGGAGGAGGATCGAAGGAAGAGTATTCTGGGAGGGAAGGGAAGGAGGGAGGGAATATCATTCTAGGGAGGGAAGATGTGTGTTGACAGAACCTGGGTCACCACACACACACACACACCAGGTCAATAATTACGGAATTAAATATTTCTATTGATTGTGTCGCCGACCTTCCTTTTGGTCTATGTGTGTGTGTGTGTGTGTGTGTGTGTGTGTGCATAAGTGTGTGTGTGTGTGAAAAACGCACACACACACACACGCACCTCCTCTTGCTTACACTATCACAACAAATAACTCTCATCTACTCTACACTTATATATTAACATTTTATTCTAACTGCGGAATTGCTTAATTACCTGTATAATACGTCATTAAGATAAAATAATGGCGTGTCAATTATAGGAACACCCGTACTACTATTTATACTCAGATTAAATCTATCTTATTTCTTATATTACCTTCATCATAAATATATACACTATTTATATATGTGTATTAATTAAGGATTAGCTATATTATACTCGTTTCTGATATTAAAATTCACAAATATCACCTGTAATTGTATGCGTCAAGTTGTATGCCTGTGTATACGTACAGGTAAATATATTTCAGTAGTAGTTTTCAAAGGAGTATTGAATGGACCTTAACAACCCTCAACAACAACCACAACAAAGACTGTGGGGTTGTGGGAGTCTAGACACACCGGTAAAGTTAGTAAACTCCATTAGCCGACATTACAACAGGCGAGTCGATAAAATGGCCTCTCACAGGGACACTTATATTCACAGGAAATCAAACCACTAATAGAGCATTTGTCACTGGGTTTGGTTCTACTGGGAGAAGTTACCAGCATTGAATATTCTCCTGGTTTATTTACTCATTCCTTTGCAATTAATTAAGTTAAATATGGATTAGAATATGTAAATAAGTCTTATAAACGTTGGAGAATATAAATAAATTGTAACTAGATGGTAGAATTATGAGGTATTGAGTTTAGAAAGATAGCAAAGAGTTATGGGAAACGCCGCGCGGACTGATTACGTGGACGAGTAAAATATGGGGTCTGCACTCCTTGTGGTGTTGCCAGCGACCGCCTGACACAACACCTCTATCCGTTTATTTCGTATTCTCTATGTTAAATACTTGCCAAATTGCAGTATTCGGATAAAATAAATATATACTCGTTTAAGTTTAGCCTCTGAAAGATGACTGAAGATGGTTATAAAGCTATGAATAAAGTATTTTGTTATTTTAAATTGTTGGTTGCTGTCCGCTGTATCGTCACCATAACAGACCGCCAGACGTACTTGAATAATATGGTCTGTTTTGTTTATTACCTTGTTTGTCCTGGACCCTGGGCGAGTTAAACCGATATGGGATAATTGAAAGAATATTATTCAAATCACCAAACAGATTAGAACCTGATCTCTATACTGCAAGTCTTTAAACTACTCTAATAAATTCCAAGTAATTGTAAATCTTTGAAATGAATAATTATCGCGTGTCTGACTTCCCGATACATAATGTAAACAAATAAACCCGACGGTGCCACATTTCACACTATTGATATCACATGTAAGCCGCCACGAGTCGTTGTTGTGTCTGGCGAGCACGTGGCGACTGTGGCAACTGTGGCAACAAAATGGTAACTCCCCAGTGGATAACCTAGACCTTGTTGTGAGTGTTATGGGTGAAGCTTTCTGGCGATATTTTTGACGCCGTGAGCTACTGTGTGTGGGGGATGTGTTGTGACATTTTGTTTGGGTTGTGGTAGAAACGCTTGTGTGATTCCGATTATATTTTCTATTGTATTAAACGTTTATATATAACGTGTTTTTAAAGCTTATTATTCATTGACTGTCCTAGATATCAGTGTTAAGTTTTTTTTCTCTGTTTCTACGTGCCGCTTATCACACTAGTGCTAGGTGATGTTTGTATGAGTGAAGCCATATTAATAAGATAGGTGAAAGAACATTATATCTATACATTTGGTGTGCATTATTATTATTGATGCTGTTATTAATTCTTTATTTCATTAAGCAATTTTCCTGGTGTTACATTATTCTCTTTTCTATTTTTTCTCGTTTACTTTGTATTTATTTATCTACTCTTTTACATGTTGTTGAGTCGTTATACGTTGCTAGGGACGCCACATGTTGCTAAGGAAGCTACACGTTGCTAGGGAAGCCTCATATGTTGCTAAGGTTACACTAAAAGTCGCTAAAGAGATTACATGTTGCTAGGGACGCTCCACGTTGCTAAGGCCCAACAGCTAAGTGTGTGTCTCTCTCTCTCTCCTCCCTCAGGACCCTTCCCTCTATCACGTCGTGTGGGTCACCCCTACCAGAGCCGGACGCCTCCTAAACGCAAGAAGCCCCGCACCTCCTTCACCAGAGTACAGGTGAGTTACTTAAGTCACTCCTCCTTCACCTACACCTACAGGAACTCACTTAAATAATTATATGCCTACTGGGCTGAGTCATACACGAGATTGGAATCAAAACACATTTATTTTTTATTATTTGTTTACGAAAGTTATGTGGTAATTTATATGTTTTGGAAGATGTAATTAAAAGAGAAGGTACTGTTATGGTTTACTGCCAATTACGATATTATTGTGGAGTCACAGGTAAGGTCATTAAGGTGTAATATAAATAAAAGTGCTGCATAAGTCTTTGTATTTGTGATTGGGTTGACTCATCCCTTTAACCTAAATAAACCACATAGTTAAGAGGAGGTAAATCACGTAATAAAAGTTGAGTTATTTTCTTAAGTAATTACTCTTGGATAAAATAACTATAAGAGAGAGAGAAAGAGTAACGCCCTTTAGGTGTCATTGTAATATTCACCTGTACAGAACACCTTCAACACACACACACACACACACACACACAGACACACACACACACACACACACACACACAGACACACACACACACCGTCGTCACCTCTCATGCAGTATTCATCAACGTTCCCACCACCTCACCACTCTCGCTTGCATTGTCTCACACCCCTCTCCTACAATGTCTTATGCCCCTTTGAACGTTTGACACGCTCTTCATGTCTGCCTTAAATTGCTCACCACCCTTCAACACCTATATACCATGAGGCGATCGACGACGCCTCCTTGTGATCCATTCAAGGGTTTGACGATACAGTGTGTTGTGTTGAATACTTCATAACCCCTTCCTCTGGATATCGTTCTCCCTCTCTCAAGCCCTATCCCCATTCCTCCTCCTCCTCCTTCTTCAGGCACTCCTCTGAACCTTCCACGCCCTTGTAATACTATATTCCACGGGTCCTTTCATGCGTGACAGTCCCCTCCTGAGGTATAGTATAGTAATGGTCGCAGTCACACCCTCCTCACTCCCTGGAGACGGGTTCTTCTACAGGGTGGTCTTGTGGGGTCCCTTGTCACTCTTGTTCATACATTCCGTGGTGTCTTACTCCCTCTTCTCTGACACGTTTCACCTCCCCTTACCTCTCTTGTCCACGTGCAACACAGCCTATCATCCATCCGCCCCCCTTCCCTCCTTTCCCTCTCCTCCCTCCTTCCTTGCGTTCTGTCACACGTTTGCCTCATCTTTCTTCTCTAGTATATCTTTCACCTACCAGCCATTACCCACCACCATCACCATACCTTACCATAGTGCCACTTAACGAATTCCTATTACGCCCCTCACTACCACCGCTATGCCTTCTACCACCACTTAACACATTCCTACTACACTCACCACCACCACTTACCACCACCACCACAACTATCACCACCACTCACCACCACCACCACCACCACAACCCACCACTTCCCTTATGTGACAACTCTTCCTCCTCCTCCTCGTCGCTTTTCTCACACCTCAACTCTCACTGGAAACATTTCACCGTTCCCTCACGTTCCTCTGGCTCTCTTGCCCCCACAGGTGAACGAGCTAGAGAAGCGCTTCAACAAACAGAAGTACCTGGCGTCGAGCGAGAGAGCCCAACTGGCCAAACAACTCAACATGACAGATGCTCAGGTCAAGACGTGGTTTCAGAACAGGAGAACCAAATGGAGGTCAGTTTTTTTAAATGTTGTTTCTTGTTAATTAAATCTCTTGTTTTTTTTGTTTGTTTTTTCTTTTCGTTCTGGTTTATGTTAATTGTTTTGTTATTTTCACTTTTTTTTAAAATGTCTTGTTTGTGTTTGTGATATCTCCCTTGTTTTGTGTTTGTTGTTGTTGTTTGTTTCTTCTTTTCTTGTTTTTTTATAGTTTGATCCTTGATTTTTTGTTTGTTTGTTTAGTTGTTGTTTGTTCTCTTCTTTGTTATTTTTTGTAATTTCTACCTTGCTTTCTTTGTTTTTTTGTTTCAAATTTCGTGTTCTTATCTCTTATAATTGTCTTTGTTTTTCCAATTCCTTCTTTCGCTTAATTTTTATCTACCATTAGTCGTGTTTTTTTTATAATTTCTTTGTAAGTTTTCTTGTTCTCGTGTTTGTTTTTTCTGCAATTTGTGGCTTGTTTTTTTTCAAGTTGTCTTTTGTGTGTGTGTGTGTGTGTGTGTGTGTGTGTGTGTGTGTGTGTGTGTGTGTGTGTGTGTGTGTGTGTGTGTGTGTGTGTGTGTGTGTGTGTGTGTGTGTATGTGTGTGTGTGTGTGTGTGTGTGTGTGTGTGTGTGTGTGTGTGTGTGTGTGTGTGTGTGTGTGTGTGTGTGTGTGTGTGTGTGTGTGTGTGTGTGTGTGTGTGTGTGTGTGTGTGTGTGTGTGTGTGTGTGTGTATGTGTTTCTTTATAAATCATGAAAATGTATAATTCTTCAAGTATACTTATTGATTCGCTTCAATAATACACTATAATCTCGCGTATAATCTTAGTGTGTATAATTTAACACTGTATAACTATGGGGTAATACTGAACTGCCTTTACTAAATAAACTTTATTATTTTTCCATCAAACTTTTGTTAAAGAAAAGTTGTTATAATTATCAATATTCACTGAAGTCTGTTTCCTGAAAATTAACTTTCTAAATTAACCTAATCTGACATGGTATAATAATTGACATAACTGATTTGCTAGTAAGTTTATTATGTTATGTTAGGTTAGGTTAGGTTAGGTTAGGTTTCTGGATATTTATTACAAAAACAACTTTTCTTCTTTACAGTTTAACAAAAATAGTTAATAAATGGGGCTTACCTCGCGACCTATAACACCTGTGTCAAAAATTTAGTTTAAACCACCACTTTACACCTGTTCACTCGATGTCTGAATACTTGTACTACGCCAACACCTGTTCTTCGCCAACACCTGTAATTTAACTCTCTCTCTCGCAAACACCTGTAATTAAATTTTCTCTCTCACTAACACCTGTAATCTCTCTCTCTCACCAACACCAGTACCTCATTATCTCTCACTAACGTCCCTGTCTGTGCCTCCTACAGAAGACAAGCGGCGGAGGAGCGTGAGGCTGAGAGACAGGCCACCAACCGCCTCATGATGTCACTACAGGCGGAGGCACTGTCGAAGGGCCTCCTCACCGACCCACCCACCACGCCCCTCTACAACTCTAACGCCTCCCTCTGCGCCCTCGAGAACATCAAACCGTGGGCGGAGAGGAACAAACCCACTCCCACGCCCACCGGCCCCGAGCAGGATCCTTATGGTAGCACCCCTGTTGTCTCCCCGACCTGTTCTTGAAGTTACCCAGTGCAGGTCTTTCCCCCCTGCTCGCTCACGTCGCCATAGTCTGCCATATACCACTACCTCCTGCTGCTCCTCGACGCCTGGAGATGATGCGTCCTCACTTCAACGCCTGGAGATGATGGTACCTTACTTCAATGCCTGGAGATGATGCGTCCTCACTTCAACGCCTGGAGATAATGGTCCTCACTTCAACGCCTGGAGATAATGGTCCTCACTTCAACGCCTGGAGATAATGGTCTTCACTTCAACGCCTGGAGATAATGGTCCTCACTTCAACGCCTGGAGATAATGGTCCTCACTTCAACGCCTGGAGATAATGGTCTTCACTTCAACGCCTCCATCTAGACTTGACGGATCTTGACGTTGAAAGTCTGGGCTGGTCTGTGCTTCCCAATGTTTACTTCCAGACTTGACCGAGTAGACGACTTTGCTTTCACTCAATACAGACTGACTTGTGTTGACGTCTAGTATTGACTTACTTAGGCGTCTACATATGAAGTTTTTGGCTTCCTCTGCTCCACGTCTTGAAGTCAAGCCCAGCGTTTTCGAAGTCACGACCAGAGTCTTCTAAGTTATTCACATACATCCGCTCCTGACGTCTTGAACACTGGACCCACCTCGATGTTCACCATGACTGAGGAACAAAACAAACACTAACTCTCTCACACCTGTTCCGCCAGATGTGAATTAGTGTTGATTTCTACGCACGGATATTTCCCTCTTGCTAACCTATACTATTCTCTCCGGATACCTTCACAACCGAGTAACAACCGACTGACTGACATGTTGTAAGAAGCAAGTTATTACAACACACCTCTACAGTCCTCCATTAATTGTTGTTACTCTAGTGCTAATTACTCATCCCACACCAAACTCTCCTTTTATCCTAATGATAGTTAATCAAATGGCTTAATTGCCCCTCCCTTGAGTTGTGTGGGTGTACAGTGGCGCCATCACTCTCCCCGCAGACGCCTGGAATTACATATTTTACATTAACTCGTCAAGTTGAGACAGTTTTTATTAAAGCTATATTGTGATTGTGTGGCATTATATCTTTACCATATGATTGTTAACCGTCTATAATAATAATAATAATAATAATAATAATAATGATAATAATAATAATGATAATAATAATAATAATAATAATAATAATGATGCACCGAGTGATTACAAGGGAGAGTGTTTTAGAACTGTTCCCTCAGGTGGGTCAACTGTATTTACTGTACTGTACCTGGTTCTTTCAACAGGTAAATGTCAAATCATCTTACCTGGCCAATCAGGTTAATTACTGCGGTTTATATCTCATTTTACCTGTTCCAAATTAGTTGATATTACTGTGATCTTGCGTCCAATTAGTTTCCAGATTATATTACCTGTTGTTCCCAGCTATAACACCTGAGTACCAGGTGACCTCTCCCCCCCCCCTCCCCCTTCACCTAATAAAAACATTTCATCCACCTTAGGGGAAATTTCTCAAGACTTTTCTCTCCCTACAAGAAGTTTCTTCCTGATCACAACTTAGTTAAGATCCGCGACCGATCAAATGTAAATGTGTTTGTGATCGACTCAGCGGTGTTTGTGTGTAGGTGTACGTGATATAATAATAATAAAACAAACCTTGTTGATGTACATTTTGTACAAAGTTAAAAAGAAAAAAAAGTTTGTAAATTATTTGTATATAACGAAATGTAATGCTCATGCTGATCTAAATGTGTTTCTGTATTAAATTATGTAAATAAAGGAAATAATTACAAGTGGTGGTGATTTATTGGCCTCGTCAAATAACTCTAAGTAGTGTGATGTTACATACTGTCTGTCTGTCTGTCTCTGTATCCGTCTAGCAGAATATGGTATGTATACTTTCTCTTTTAGTCTCTCTCTCCTTGTCTTGCCTTTTTTTATTTCTCTTCCCATCGATATTCATCTCTCTCTCTCTCTCTCTCTCTCTCTCTCTCTCTCTCTCTCTCTCTCTCTCTCTCTCTCTCTCTCTCCATTTTCTTGTGTATTTCGATATGATTCTATTAATATTACTGACTTCAATCTTTACTTCTCTCTCTCTCTCTCCTCCCTTTTACCTCTTCCTCTTTACTACTCTCTCTCTCTCCATTATCATATTCTCTCCTTCTTTAAGGTTTCTGTGTTCCCTTATCCACACCCAACACATAAATTAAATAAATATAAATAAATGATGGAAGTTATCTAGCCAACAGAAGGAAAACAAAGGGAGATAACAGCTAATGGCGGGAACAGGTGTGTATGTAAATAAGACGAGATAATGAGACGAAATATTTAAAATAAACTTATTTCTTGGATCATGTGAAGATTAGACACCCAAGGTTATTTCACCTGATGATTAAAGACCCTAACGTTAACCTCATCTAAGCTATAACCTAACCTAACCTAACCTGACCTAGCCTGACCTGACCTAGCCTATCCTAACCTGACCTAGCCTAACCTAACCTAACCTGACCTAGCCTAACCTAACCCCACAAATAATCACCTGATCCCAAATTTACATAATGACATCACAACGTTAAAAACACAACAAAGGTGATTACACTAATTACCTCATTAACTTCAACTCTCTATACCAGGTAGTTACGCAATAGAACATACAATTAAAAGTAATAGTAATTCCTAAGTGTCATTAAGTCTATGTAATTAAGAAAGAATAAAAATAATGATACTTTTTATAATCTGTAATTTTTAATTCTTATGACGTCTTGATATTATTAAGGAAGTGAAGGTAATTATTAATTAACATATACAGGTGAGATGTGTCTCAGTGGTGTTACCTGGGCATATGTATTATAGATGGCACTGTGTTAAGCGTGGTGACTACAGGTATGTTTGAGGCATCTGACACCATCATTTGACACTACCACTTGACACTACCACTTGACACCAGCTGATACACAACAATCTGACATCATAGTGGTGAGGCAGCATAGTGATGATGGCAGCATAGTGGTGAGGCAGCATAGTGGTGAGGCAGCATAGTGGTGAGGCAGCATAGTGGTGAGTGGTGATGGCATAGTGGTGAGGCAGCATAGTGGTGAGGCAGCATAGTGATGATGGCAGCATAGTGGTGAGGCATAGTGATGATGGCAGCATAGTGGTGAGGCAGCATAGTGGTGATGGCAACATAGTGGTGAGACAGCATAGTGGTGAGGCAGCATAGTGGTGAGGTAGCATAGTGGTGAGACAGCATAGTGGTGAGGCAGCATAGTGAGAGACAGCATAGTGGTGATGGCAGCATAGTGGTGAGGCAGCATAGTGGTGATGGCAGCATAGTGGTGATGGCAGCATAGTGGTGAGGCAGCAGTGGTGAGGTAGCATAGTGACAGCATAGTGGTGAGGCATAGTGGTGAGCATAGGTGATGGCAGCATAGTGGTGATGGCAGCATAGTGGTGAGGCAGCATAGTGGTGAGACAGCATAGTGGTGATGGCAGCATAGTGGTGAGGCAGCATAGTGGTGATGGCAGCATAGTGGTGAGGCAGGAAGAGGTGTAAGTGTTGGTAAAAATACAATGGTGTATCTCCTTAACTCACGATGAACTGATAATATTACACGACTCTCTCTCTCTCTCTCTTTATCTCTCTCTTTCGTTCTTGCTTTGTCTATCTTTCTTTTCTTCTTTTCTCTCTCTCTTTTTTCTTTCTGATTTTGTATCTTCCTCTCTTTATCTCTCTCTCTATCTCTCTCTCTCTCTCTCTCAACACTTTCAGTTCCATTCTCTCTTGCTTTCTCTCTCCCTATCTCTGTCTCTCCATCTTTAACTCTTCCCCCTCCTTTCTCTGTCTTGCCTTTCTCTTTCTCTTACTGTCTCATCCACCCTTCTCTCTCTCTCCATCTATATATCCCTCTCATTCACTCTCCATCTATGCCTCTTCTACTAACCTAAAAATCCATATAAATTTATCTGGTATGAAATAGACAGTAGAATATAAATAAATTTCTATTAAATGTAAGCAGCCATCTTCAACCTTTCCCGAGCGTTTCTTGCATGGTTCTAATATTCATGACGTCGTTATTTCTACTTAACTTTCAATTCCTCATTATTAGCTGATGCCACTTAGCGCTGTGTTGTAAGGGAAAAAAATGCTTGAAAGGTTTGGCTTTTAAAGTACAGTTATATACTTAACAACGTTTATAAGGAAAGCTTTTGTTATCTAAACCACTGACGACATGTTTGGTTGACACTTAGCTTAAAATCATTCTCGGTGATACAAGTACTTCAAAAAGACTAAAAGCCACTTCTTGTTGATTTATCTCTTGTTCGTTTCTCTAAATATTCTCTAAATAATCGAATATTCTCATTATCTCTCGTCTTTCATTATTTGTTTTTACTTTTTTGTCTTGGTCATTTACTAGTTATCACCTAACAGTTCGCGCTAAAAGCCAAGATCATATACAAACATGTACATTACATCTTCAGGCGAACACATTAACCCCTTGAGGACGATGACTTAACCTCTTGAGGACGATGACTTCCCTTTGAGGACTTGAGGACGATGACTTCCCCTTGAGAACTTGAGGAAGATGACTTAACCCCTTGTGGATGATGACTTAACCCCTTGTGTACGATGACCACAGGACGTCACATTCAAGGGGTTAAAAACGTTTGCCTGTGCTTGGCTTCCGGTGAGAGAGAGAGAGAGAGAGAGAGAGAGAGAGAGATCTGGCTGGGGCGAAAACTATAGAGAAAACAAGAAAACATCGTAATGCCCTGTAAAGTCATCTATGTTATAACACTATAACACTATAACACTATAACACTATACATAATACAACACTATATATATTTTATAACATAGCATAATATAATGAACTATATAAGGTAAATACATTTAATAGACATGTAATTTGTTTAAAGGAAAATGTATATGCAGGTAGATCGTAAATTATGGGAAATTCAAACAGTGTCTTGGCTAATCTATAATATCCCATTACGCCAAAAAATCCCCATAAGACAAAATCCCACTTGATATAACTGTAAAGGATAAAATTCCAACGTACAACAAAATCCCACTAAAATAAAACACCCAGAATTATAAAATCTTGCTAGACATTATCTACCCGAAAAAAATCCCCAGACAACCTCACAGTACAGGACATAACACCAGATAAAAATTTCCCAACACAAAATTCCCGAGAAAAAAAAATTCTCCGTAAATAAAATCCCCCAGAAAAAAAAAATCCCTGGACAGAAACCCTCAGAGAAAAAACTCTTTATTTTATCATTATAAAACATAAAAAATAAACTATAAACAGATAGAAAAATACTTAGAAAATACAAAGGATAAGATAAATTAAGACATTTGATTAGCTAGAATAAATTTATCTCTATTGGGATATATTTCAATACAAATATTCCTAAGTATCTATATGGAATAAATTATACACCATAAATTAGCTTCATAACCTAATTAGAAACATTAATAAGTAATTAAATGGATAAATGAATAAAAAAATTAGGATAGTAAATTATTGAATGTAATTTGAATATTGAAGACATATAGTATGTTCCTTGGGCCCAGTTACCCTCCTCCATAACGAGAGCTCAAACAACCACTTAGGCACCGATAAGTAGTTTGCCTGTTTAGCGTGACCACCTCATGCACGGCAACACCTGGAGGAGGGAGGAGAAGGAGGACCAGGGCAGTACACGAGTAGGAAGGTTGACAGATAGACGCACACACATTACGACGCAGACGAAGACGCAGAAGGAGTAACGACGCAGTAACGAGCCAAGCAGACAGACGTGTATACTACAGGCACACAACGTCGACGGCTCTTATTCTACACGATACACACACACAAACACACACACACGACCTAACGCTACACTAACCTACCCAAATTTAACCCCGTCTGTCCAATCTTCAGTGATCTAACTACAGCAGTGAAAAAGATGCGTTGATTTCTGATTCAAAAGCAGTGAAACAGCTCTATTACAGTGACACAGCAGTGAATTTCAACTACACGGATGTAGTTCAATTACAGTGACGCAACAGTGTATTTAAGTTACGCAATACAACAAATACAACGAAGACCTACTGCAGTGATGGACTTTTCCTTATTTACGATTCGAAAATACAGTGAAAAAATACAATAACCTTCCACATCACTGTTGTCTCTCGAGTACAGTGATAAATTTAGTTATTACAGTGACATGGAAACTTGACTACAGTGCTTTAATCTATTATGTTTACAGTGCTTTTGAGGGTAGTGATGGTGTATTAACTCAGAACATGTGGACATAGAACATAGTGAATGTGAAATAACTAACATATTGATGCCTGTATGGTAATGTATAGTGCACTGGGAAAATTTATGGTGCACAAGTAAGAATTATGGTGTTTTAGGGAAATTTATGGTACACAAGGAAAATTTTATTGTGTTTTAAGGAAATTTATGATGTTCTAGAAAAAATTATGGTGTTCTAGGAAAATTTATGGTGCACAAAATTTTGTTTATGGTGTTTTAGGGAAATTTATGGTGTTTTAGGGAAATTTATGGTGCACAAGGAAAAAAATTATGGTTCACAAGAAAAAAATTATAGTGCACAAGTAAGAATTTTGGTGCACTCGGGAACTACTACATGATCACTACAGGGACACAGGTGACTACAGGATAAAGGTAAGTGTTGTTACCTGTAGGAAGAACGTGTGTATTATGACGTCACGTATAGAGCCCCGTCAGCAGCGTTGTGATTGGCTAGGAGAGAGTGACGTCATGTCTTACAAAAA